TTTATGGAAAATTAACTAATTTAACCACTTTTTAATGTGTATTTGAAAAAAATAACCCAATTTTTTTTGTTTGCAAAATTAACCATTTTGTCAGGTATGAGGCATTCCCGGACCAAGAAAAAAACATTTTTTTGACTGACTCTGGAATAACATTCTCGATTCCAGACCAAAATTCCGGAATATGAACAGTACTCCAGAATGCCTAATTCCGGACTAGAATTTTGGATTTCGAAAAAAGAAAAAACTCTGGAATTTTAAGAACAAGTTCGAAACCGGTAGAATAATTCCGGAATTTCAAGAATTTTTTTTTTTTTTTTATTTTTTATTTTTTTTTTATTTTTTAATAATTTCACAAAAAATTAAACAAACATAATAGTATGAACTATATACAATATAAATGCTTAAAATTAGACATTTTATTAGAAAACGATGATCATAAACATTACGAAATGTAGCGTTTGGAATCCCAAAAAAACAAAATAATTTCTTTGAAAATGATTTTTTTTTTGAAAAAAGATGACAATATTCTGGTATGATCAGTTAGGCATTCCGGTAAAAATGGTTATTTTCAAAATTTGAAAAAACATTGTTATTTTTTTAAAGCCTCGTTTATAATGGTTAGTTTACTTAATTTTTTATTTATTTTATTATAATGAAAATATCAACATAATAATAAGGTCTTATTTTTTACATTTATTCCAATAACCTAAAAAGTTAAAACCAAAATTGGTCTCCTTTACTGGTTACTCAATTAAGCAAATGTAAAAAAACACAAGTTTTTTACCTTTTTGATTTTGATGCTATTAAATTTTTTTAATTTGATCATCATTTTTTTTTTCAATTTTGTTTAGTTTTGATATTTTTTCAGTTAGTGAATGCAATATGATGTGACATTTTTTTGATGGTGTGACGCTGACATGACATGATGACATATCAGTGTTAAAATTGAAAAAAAAAAAAACAAAAGTAACGATTTTTGTGAAAACCATAATGTGTATCAAAAAAAAATAAAAAAATTAATGCCCTTTGTTACATTTACCGGTAAAAAAAGTACAATCAATATTATGGATAAAAATATTGCCTTGAAAATGAGATTATCAAATGAAACATGGCTACCAAAATACATACAAAAGCCTTAGTTCTAGGAAGTGTTAACCTAGGTCCCTCCTTCGTAACAACCCGAGTTATATCCTTTTTTTACCAACCTTCCATTTGAAGCACTAAACCATCATACTCAAACCACTTGTGCGAGTTGCATTGCCATTGGCATCTCATGAAACATTCATCTTCTGATACTTGACAACATCTAAAAGTGTTGTCCTCTAATATTCTCCTGCCCCCTATCAATTACATACATTAACTCTTTGTACATGGGGTTATTGCTCATGTGCAAGGGGGTTCAAAGGGTTAATGCATATATATGGTTTATTCATTATTCGGATAAAATCAACATTTCAGGATACTCATTAATATTATAAAAGTTTTACATAAACGTAGAGAGTAAACGAGCAACAAACTGTGTAGCAACCTTCTTTTTGGATGACAAAACTAATTCTTTTTAAAAACATTCATAGATCTTGGAGTCATAACACTACTATGCATGACATGTTGGTCTCTGTTGAGGAGTTCCACAAGGAAACCAAAAATATCAAATGCAAAAGATATAAACGTGTGTTGATTGTCCATACACATTTTCTTATGTTTTATCATTTTGCATGATGCAACTTTTAAAACAACTTGCCCCATAGTGAAAACACCACATCCCAAGCCCACAAGAAGGGAGTCCCTGTTAGATCTACACATGCATGCTTCTTTCTAGCCCATCAAAAAAAACTAAAATATCAGCTGGTTTAAATGTTGATTTTCTTTCCAATTGGTTAGTTAGAAAGTTCACAAGTGCCTCTTTCTTATCAGAAATCTTGACACACCTAAATATATCGAAAATAATATCCCTAACCCTAACTAAATAGTGTCGGTGCTTGAAACTCGGGAGCTCTCTACAATGAACTTCATGCTCCCCAAAGGAGTCTAAGCATGACCTTGCAATAAATAGGGCATTTCTCTAATTATACAATTTAGATTAAACTATATGGTTCAAATATTCGTATCTTTGAATTGGTTATAACTGAAACCGAGTTATTGTTTTGGATCCCGGATTGGTTTTGGTTGCGAAATAAGAACCGAATAGTCCAATCAAACCAAATGATATGTATTTTTATTTATTTTGTGCTTTTGATATACATTTATTTAGTTATTAAGCTATTATCAGTGTTTTTTTAAAATTAATTAGAAGTCATAATTAGTATAAGTTTTAATTCGCACATTAACCATTTGCTTTTATTTCTCTCACCCCAGTTCATTAAGATGTCATCACATGAAAAGTTTTTGGATTTAAACTTTAAAAATCTAGCTTATTTTACATATATATATATATATATATATATATATATATATATATATATATATTAAATTTATCTTTCCTTAGCTACAGTATACTGCTTCTATTTTTTATTTTCCTAGTTTTATCTTTACCTTCTTCATTCTATTAATTTTTCTCTTATTCCCCTTCTATTTTACTTCGTTCTTTTATTTTTTTTCTTTTTCCCTTCCTTTTACCAACATGGATGACAAAACTTTCTTTTTTATTCGTGTCTTTTCCCCTTTTGTTTGGTGTCCACGTGTTACTTTCTTCTTTTCCCCTTTTGCTCTTCGTTCAACGTCCAACGCTGTTTCTTTTCGTCATTCTGATGGGGGTGATGGATTGCACGATGACATCTTCAATTTGATATAAGTAAAGTTAAACCAATAGATGTTCTTCCACCTATCCTCTGTCCATTTGTTTACATCTTTCTATTTCTAACCAAATGATATGATCATATATTGTAAAGTTTTGATATAAGCATTTTGTTTTAGTGATTAAAGATGTATACTTAAATTCTGAATGTGTTTTTGTTTATATATGTAGCTTTAAGTATCCAACATATATGTTTTAAAAAGAGAATAGATCTCAATTTATTTCTACTTTATTTCATTTTAGGCATCATACTTTCATAGTGAACCAACTATAGCATCCTAGTTCCATGACGAACGATTGATAAACGATGACACCATCTTTTACATAATGTCTTAAGTCGCTTTTTTTTATATTAGCGGCAAATCCGACCCCCGCGAAACCGGGTTTCCTATCTAGTTAATGTTAAAATTATATATTCTTTTTAAATTTGTTTGAATTTTTGAAAACCAGATAGCAAAAACTGATCCAATCGAATTTTAGTTTGGTTGGTTTGGATTGAATTTTAATAGAGTTTGGACTATTTAGATTCATGTTATTATTTATTTATTTATTTATTTTTGAATCTTGAATAACGAATAGCAAAAACCGATCTAATTGAATTATAGTTTTGTTGGTTTGGATCAGATTTTTAAATTAGTTTGGACTATTTAGATTCATGTTTTTTTTGAATCTTGAAAACCGAATAGTAAAAAAATGATTAAACGGAGTTATAGTTTGGTTGGTTCGGGTCGAATTTTAATATAGTTTGGACTATTTAGATTTATGTTTTAAAAACCAAAATCAATTTGGATTCATTTGTTTGAATTGGATCGTACCGATCCATTCAAACGAACATCCTAGCATGTAATTGATAGGGATTATTGCTCATCTATGGGTGCAACTGTAATGGTCACCGGTTAAAATTGAATATAATTGAAAAATACAATGTTCGAAGTGGAAATAAAACAAAGTATCAAAATCGAAAATGTACAATCTTAATGTCTTTTGTAACATTTTCCCTTTCAATTCTAACATTTTGTTATAAACCTTACAAAAAAAAAAAAAAATCCAGTTTAATATCCGTAGGACATTTAGTTACTTTCTATATTTGATGTTGTTATTAAAGAGAATTATAAAAAAAACATAAACATATTAAACTAATATAAAAATATGTATAAAAATATATTAACTAATATACAAAAGTAAATAAAACCATTGCATTTATAATCTGAGAAAAATCTTGAATATATCCAATAATATATCCGATTATCCATAATACTAATGTAATAAGGACTACGGAGGAAAAATGAGATCCTTCATGGTTTGAGTTAATCATCTATTAGGTTTGTCCATCAAATATTTTGTTTACTTTTTGAATTTTATAGATATTTTATATATTATATTTCACAAAAAAAATCATATTAAATAATAATATATATTTTTTTCTAAACAAAATTATTTGAAGTCTTCTACGTGTTTGAATATGTTATAGAATATATCTTAAACAACCTAACTTACAATCCTCATTCCTCTACAAATAGTTTTCTTAGTTTTAGTTGATAAGTCATTCAATCCAGTTTCATCTAATTAAAATAACCTTTATTTTGTGGTAGTTTAAATTAAAATAACATGTATATAATATTATAGGAAAAAGTGATTTAATTTAGATGCAAATAAAGGGGAATACAAAAAGGAAAGGTTCTACCGAGAATTGAACTCGGGTTACTGGATTCAGAGTCCAATGTCCTAACCGCTAGACCATAGAACCAATTTGATTACTTAGTTGTAAATGTTTGTTATAACATATCTAAACAAGATAAACAAGATACAAAGATAGTAGTTGGTACTCGTCATCTATTTATGATCTAAATTTGATAAAAAAAAAATATTCTAATTTCAAAGTTAACGAAATCCTCAATTTTTCTTATTTATTACAAGTTCCAGTTTTTGTCTGTATCTTTACTCATCAATTTGTGATGGCCATCCATTCCAAGAGTTGGATATTTTGTGTTCCTTCCATGGACAATGTGAATGTACCCTCCGAGATGCATAACGTACATGTCATCAAGATTCCGAATCTAAAATGAAAAGAAAACACCACATAATTTGAGTTTCATACGAGGAAATTTTTTGCAATTGTTAACCTTTTATTATTAGACTTAAACGCATGGTATAGAATCATTCATCTTTGTAGTTTGTTTTGCAATCAGTATTTCAGAGAGATTAGGGTAAGAAAGATTACCCTTTTTTTCTTCTTTTGAAAAAGAAGAACTGAATATTTTGTTGCGTGAAAGTTATAAAAAGGATTTCAGGTACATTAGACAAGACCGTTGTTGTAAACTATTACCAAAATTATTATTATTAAATTTTTTTTTTGACGACATTTGTCTTCCATCTGATCTTGCTTGTCGTAGTCGTTTGTGCCTCTACATTCTGCTCGCCCTCACAATTCACAATTCACAATTCACAAACAAAAAAAGAAAAGGAACCCAAGATTATCTTCTAGGAATCCAACATTCACCCACCAAACATTCACCTGCATCCATGATTTTACTCTAATCAAACACCCTGAATTTTTTCTGTAAAACAATTAATCGGATTTACTTTTGGTCGGTTGGTGTTCTTTCCCATCCCCATTCGCAAAGACCCAAAAATTTCCCCCCGAAATGTCTCTGTTATTGTTGTTAATTTAGGTCTAGCTTCTGGTCTCTCAATCCCATTTATTTTATACCTTCATTCCCACAAAAGTTTCCTTAACAAGATCGATCCTTCTTATTGTGTTTTGGGTTTCAGTCACCCGTCATGGCTGCTGCTGTTCTAAGATCAAAATCATCCAGAGCCACAGCTTCTTTGTCATCGCTCTCACACTTGAGATACTGTTTGCTAACGCACGATCTTCACACTGGTCCTCTTCCCAATTTCCATCTCACTAGTTCGAGGCCCGCAACAACCAAATTAGATGAATACCAATCGTATAAACCCTTTTTGGTCTCAGGAGAATCTGTTGATAAGGGTTATGGATTTTTAAAGAGTAATAGTAAGTGGAGATTAAGTAATATGTATGGTGGTAGTATTGGTGGTGGTGGCGGTTTTGGAGAGCCGCCTGAGGTCTGGCAACCTCATGGAGATGGTGCTAAGATTGTTCCATTGCCCGGTTCGGGTAACCCAACAACCGACGGGTTCGGGTCAGGTTCTGGAGATGGGAATTGGGGAGGGTCTAATTTGGGTAACAGCTTCCCAACTCCAAAGGAGATCTGTAAAGGACTTGATAAGTTTGTTATTGGTCAAGAAAGAGCTAAAAAGGTTATCCTTCTTCTATCTGTAATGTTCTGGTGGCCTAAAATAAAATTTGTTTTCTTGTGATTTTGATATATATATGGTTCTTTACCATTTTGAAGTAAGGAAGCTAGTTTACTCACTAATTGCACTTGGAATAACTTAAAAAAAGAATTTGCGTTGCTTATAATTCGATTCATACAGGTGCTGTCAGTGGCAGTTTACAATCACTACAAGAGGATCTTCATGGACAGTTCACAAAAGTAAGCACATTGTTCCCTGTGTTGTTTCATTTGGAGAAGGCAATCTGTTTGTTCCATTTTGAGTATGAAAATATATATATATATATATATATATATATATATATATATATATATATATATATATATATATATAAATTTAGTGGAATGTGGAGCCATGCATGGGGACAATAGTTTGTGGTAAATGCTTCTGATATACTCCATGTCATTACAACTTGCAAAGTTAGGCCTGCAGGAAATTCAAGAAATGACAAGGGGAATGGTGTGGATGGTGAAACAGTAGAACTTGAGAAAAGTAATATTCTTGTAATGGGCCCAACTGGTTCAGGTAAATTTTTTATTTGTTTTATTAGAATGCAATCCTGTTTTTCCTTACACCTGCAAAATAATATTGATGACAGGGAAGACACTGCTTGCAAAAACATTGGCACGCTTAGTGAACGTTCCCTTTGTTATTGCAGATGCTACTACACTTACTCAGGCAACTATTTATTCATTTAGGGGGTTATGATTTATTAATTATTATGTGTGCATATATTCAGCTTTCATACATGTTTTTTGATTTGCAGGCTGGCTATGTTGGGGAAGATGTGGAATCTATTCTATACAAGCTTCTCACAGTATGACACTTGTGCCTTTTCTTAGCACCAATTTCTATACCCTTTAGTTACAATTTTGCTGTTTTCATACTAGAATCAGACGACTTAATTGCAAGAAATAGCAATGTACTTGCATATTTATTTTAGGCATAGCAATCTACAAGCACTTGTTCCTATTACAAGAATACATTTTGAAAAATCTACCCAATAATACTAATGTCATCTAAATCTAAATAGTAATTACAAAACAATTTTCACTGCTACAGTTAGGTTGATTTTCAATGTATGATGTCAAAATAAAAAATTGAAAGTCAAATAAATGTTGCATTTATCCTTAGATCTATGATGTATCTGATTATAACCTATTCTTACTTCAGGTTGCTGATTATAATGTAGCAGCTGCTCAGCAGGGCATCGTGTATATAGATGAAGTTGACAAAATTACAAAGAAGGTTTTGCTAAAAAAAAAAAAAAAAAAAAAATTTAATCCAAGGATTATCATGTTTGAGTTTGATGTGTTGTCTTAAATCTTAATTTGTTGCATCATATGATAATAGGCTGAGAGTCTTAACATCAGCAGAGATGTCTCGGGTGAGGGTGTGCAGCAGGCATTACTGAAGATGCTGGAAGGGACTGTATGTTGTTGCTTTCTTTATGCTCTACATTTTTTAAACATTGTTTTGAGTCTTTGTCATGTGCTATATTATTTATCGCTAGCAGTAGCATACCATGTTATGTTGAAAATCAATGTCATGTCATGTCATGTCATTTATTTCAGGTTGTCAATGTCCCTGAGAAGGGTGCACGGAAACATCCTAGAGGAGACAACATTCAGGTAAATCACACTCTTTTATGACCAAAACACTTCAACATTTTGTGATCCTCTTCTGTTCATTCATACATTGCTTTTACTAATATATATTTATGTTTTTTTTTTGCAGATTGATACGAAAGATATTCTGTTCATATGTGGGGGTGCATTTATAGATCTTGAGAAAACCATTTCTGAAAGGTATAATATGTATATTAATTATTTTAATAATTTAATAATAATAATAATAATGATGATGTTATTTCAGACGGCAAGACTCTTCCATTGGTTTTGGGGCACCTGTCCGTGCAAACATGAGAACCGCAGGCGTTACAACTGCTGCAGTCACGTCATCTTTGTTGGAAACTGTAAGACAGTCTAACCTCACTCCCTCTTTATCCTTCTTCATATTTTCGTTGTTTTTTTTTTTTTTTTTTTTTTTTTTTCAGGTTGAAAGTAGTGATCTCATTGCTTACGGATTGATTCCTGAATTTGTTGGACGCTTTCCGATTCTTGTCAACTTATTAGCTCTTACAGAGAATCAACTTGTCCAGGTAGCTAGACTTTCACATACCTTGCTTAATATATCAATCAGATTAACTCAAAATGAAAGAAACAATATTCTGTAGGTGCTAACCGAGCCAAAGAATGCGTTGGGGAAGCAATACAAGAAATTATTTCAGATGAACGGGGTAACTTCTTGCATATCACTTTTATATTTTCACTATAACAACTCCGCTTCCAACTATTTACTCTTGTTCTTTTTTTTTTTTTTTTTTTTTTTAGGTTAAGCTTCATTATACAGAAAGTGCATTGAGACTAATTGCGAAAAAAGCCATAACCAAAAACACTGGTGCTCGGGGTTTAAGGTCCTTGTTAGAGAACATTTTGATGGATGCCATGTACGAGGTTTGTTGTGAATCCTTATTACTCCTACTCTTAGGTGTTGTTTCTTTTTGCTTGACTTAATAATACAGAAAGAATGAATGGCTTTGATAGAGAAAGTCACGGATCATATCATTACTTAAAACTCGATTGCAGATTCCTGATGTAAGAACAGGAAAGGACATAATAGATGCAGTTGTTGTTGATGAGGAGGCTGTAGGAGTCCAAGGACAGGGTTGTGGGGCCAAAATCTTGTATGGTGAAGGGGCACTGGAACATTATCTATCACAGCATGATAATAATAAAGATTTAGAGGTAGCTGAAGCTGCCATTGTAACAATCTGTTAAACATTCATTGTATTATTAAATTAAACATAACATGTTTGTTTCTTTGCAGGCGGATGGAGAAGCTGAACTGCCATCCATTGCGGCGTTGTAAATTGTGTTCTTGATTGATAGTAGCCTCACATGTGTTACGTGTACTGTACAGCATAATAATAGATTATATAAACTTGTAATAAGAACCAGTTCTGCAGCAAAACCACCACCATCTCTCATCTCTAGTATGTATATATATATATATATATATATATATATATATATATATATATATATATATATATGTAAGCAAAGTCCATTTTAAGATATGATCTTGTAGCATGTTCGCATGCCCTTTACATCAATCTAGCTACTGTATAAATAGAACCTACAAAATAAAGCTCAACTCTATGCATGTCAGGAACATGCCCAAACTTGTACACCTTTTTGGATGGAACATGAATTTGTAATTTTTGTTCATTTGACACCCACTCTTAGTTTAATGTAAGGATGTTAAGATCAAGATCCTACGTAAGATTGACTTTCGCTTTACAAGATCGAGATCATAGGATTGAATTGGGACCAAAATAATTTAGTTATAAGTTAAAATTATGAAAAATACATACTAATCAATTAGTTTTACAAGTTATAAAAAGTTTAAAATGTTCATGATAGCATATCTGAAACGACCCAAAAATTACGACAAAAAAAAAATTCTTTAAAAGCATTACTAGAATCATATTTATAAAAACTGTATCATAAGTCATAACATAAATTCTCGAGTATTAATTCAAAACATAATATCATTATTAGAGTCAAATATTCCCAGGCTAACTGACTATGGTGTGTGCACTGCAATCTCCCCGAGCTCCTCTTTTGAAAACTGAATACCTGAAACCAAAACTGAAAATCGTAAGCACGAAACTTAGTGAGCTCCCCTAATCTAACACATACCATACAACAACATATAAAGCACATACTGGGCCTTGCCCACTGCATCGGACCAATGTCCGGACTAACTGAAGCCTTGCCCCCTACATCGGACTGAAGTCCGGAAACTGACTGGGACCTTGTCCCCTGCATCGGACCGAAGTCCGGAAACTGACTGGGACCATGTCCCCTGCATCGGACCGAAGTCCGGGCTAACTGGGGCCTTGCCCCCTGCATCGGACCGAAGTCCGGAAACTGACTGGGACCTTGTCCCCTGCATCGGACCGAAGTCCGGGCTAACTGACTGAACATAGCATAGCATAACATATCAACTAGCATGAACACATATACTGCATACTACATCGGGCCGTAGCCCGGAACACATAACACATAACACATAAAACATAGCACATAAATCCTGTCTGAGCCACGAAGGCATCAAACATACTAACTACTGCATCGGACCGAAGTCCGGAAACTACTGCTAACTGAACGGGCCGGCATTGTGGCCTTAGACCCGTCCCTACTGGAAGGAAACTCACCTGAGACTGCTGAACTGACGCTGCTAATCCTCTTGACTGCTACTTGACCTCTGACTCCGAACTGCTGCTCCACTACTCTTCGAGCTTCAAAAGCCAATAAAACACTTAGTCCAACTGACCTCCAAAGGTCACTAGGTCAACTCTGGTCAAAGTCAAAATCCTAGTCAATGTCAACCTTCCAGGTCAACCCTACTCGCCGAGTTTACCTACTGACTCGCCGAGTTCATATGCTCTGGGTCTTTCTTATTCGCGACTCGACTCGCCGAGTCAGTCTATGACTCGCCGAGTCCAACTAGTTCCAAGTCCTGTGCTGTCCAACTCGCTGAGTCACCACCCGACTCACTGATTCGAATCTCAACTCGAAGGGTTTAGGGTTTCGCGATCTGACTCGCCGAGTCCTAGACAATCTTCAACCAACTCGTCGGGTTGTTCATCCAACTCGCCGAGTCCATGCCTAACTTGTGACATCCCCATTTTCACGGCCAGAAAAGACCGATTTTGTTTATGCTTTATGAAAATCAGAGTACTTCATTTTATAAAAAGGTTGCGGAATTTGTTCCCAGAAAAACACGATAAATACGTTATTAAAACATTTTCGAAGAAACGTATTTTTATTCATCTTAAAACGTTTGGGATGTCATCGTTAATACAGAAACATAAGCATAAACAGAACTTACAATTATTTACACTAGTGATCTACATCTCTTTAAATCTCTCAGTGTAATGTCACTTCATTTCGTCACCTGTGGTATACATAAACTGAGTGGGTCAGGTTGGGAAACCTGGTGAGTACATAGGGTTTTCAACCCACAATAATATAATTATTATGTTTAATCAAACAATCAACCCAATTACCTATCCCCATTATCTTTTTTACTCTTTAAGGATTTAACCTAAGAGTCATCTATCCTTCATTCGTTTATTCCGAAGTCCCTTACTTCCAGGGTTCTAGGACTGGCACTAAATCCATAGCTGCCAATGTTCGTTCATAAAGCACTAATTCCATAGCTGCTATAGTCTATTCATCGGGTACTAAATCCATAGCTACCAGTCTTTATCTAATAGTACTAAGTCCATAGCTACCAATGTTCAACAGGTACTAAATCCTTAGCTACCAGCGTCTAACTAATAGGTACTAAGTCCATAGCTACCAATTCCCAACAGGTACTAAATCCATAGCTACCAACGTCTAACAGGTACTAAGTCCATAGCTACCGGTGTTTGTCCCATAGGCACTAAGTCTATAGCTGCCAATGTATACTCACGTCATCTTCTATCTCTCATCATTTATCTACCCATCATCATACCCAACATATTCGTATATATAAAATACGTATACAGTTTAAATCCTTTAAAACATGTATAAAACGTTCATCCAACATAGACAGCAAGTATTCAGATAATATGCACACATAGCACGTAGTTTATATAAAATACTTCATATCTATGTGTAAGATGAAAGGGACTATGCACTCACAACACGTAAATTATATAATAAATACTTCATATCTATGTGTAAGATGAAAGGGACCATGCACTCACCTGATTAGGTGGTGATTCCGAACTCAGACAGCACTTCGTTATCTCAAAACAATTTTCCTCGACAAAACCTAGTATCAATACCACTAGGGTTTAGTTTTTAACGTTAACCACGACTAATTAATAGTCTAGCTATTATTACTATTATATAAGCGTTAAATAACACTCAATATAACTCATAATAATAGCCCAAATAGTTATTTTAAGGTCCTAATAATGTTACTATAATTAAATAAAATCTATATTAAATATAGTATAGGCGTAGCTCACTTACAGCGAGTTTTTATTAAAAACCGGGCTTCGCTGGAGCAGCGTTTCCAAGCCGAAAGCTTTTCTTCTCGGAGCCGTCGGGCGCTCCGGGGCTTTCTTCTCGTGCTAGGGAGGTTCCGTAGACTTGGGAGGGGTTTAGGAGGCTAGAGAGAAGTTAGAGAGAGAAAGAGAGGCTTATGGTGTGAAGAAAATATGAGGAGTTCACCCTTGTATTTATAGGAGTTTTATAGTAAAGTAGGCTCTAAGCTTCGTCCGTAACTTTTGCATACGAGCTCCGTTTTTGTCTGTCTTTTTACCGTTGAGTTCCTATTAATGAGATCTTTAACTTTCATTTAGACCTCGTTGGCTAATTCTCATTCTATCTCGGATTTACAAAACTGTATCGAATTCGCCGTGCTCGAAAAGTAGGGACTAAGCTTCGTCCATAACTTTCGCATACGAGCTCCATTTTTGTTTGTCTTTTTACCGTTAAGTTCCTATTAATGATATCTTCAACTCTCATTTAGACCTCGTTGGCTAATTCTCATTCTATCTCAGACTTACAAAACTGTATCGAATTCGCCGCGCTCGAAAAGTAGGGACTAAGCTTCGTCCATATCTTTCGCATACGAGCTCTATTATCGATGTTCTTTATATCCACGCGTTGGTATTTACGAGTACTACAACTTTCATTTAGATCCCGTCGGCTAAAAATCGACCGATCTAAAATTCAGATTTCGGGCTGTGCACTGCTATGCTAAATCTTAGAAAAATCATAACTTCCTCATACGAAGTCAGATTTGGGCGTTCTTTTTATCGCTGTTGTTAGTTTAACATATTATACGACTTTCTTTTAGATCGCTAAGGCTAAATCTCGCTCTATCGTAAATTCACTATTTACGCTTCTCGGTGCCGTGCCGGTTTTGCCGTAAAACTTCGACGGGCCATAACTTCTTCGTTATAACTCAGATTTCGGCGTTCTTTATATGTACGGAAACCTTGTGACATATAATATAACTTGGTTAAAATTATTTATTCTAAATAATCTTTTTCCGAAAAGTCGTTTTCGACCCATATTGCCTCTAAATTGACTTGCCCGGATCTACGGGCGTTACAATTATCTCCCCTTTAGGATGATTACGTCCCGGAATCATCAACGAAACAGGGCTCGTATAATAACTCCATACATCATCTCTTCATCCTAGGTAATAATTATAACTTCTATATTCCTTCAAGTCTATCTCTTAGACTCATTGACTGTATGCAGTACTCGATCGTGCACCTGCTCTCTACCTCAGGCTAGACTTCAAATTATGACCTATCATCATGTGATGCACGTTTAGACTTAGGTCTCTTAGAGTTAAATTCTAAAATAGACTATGCCTTCCTTCATGTTCTAATGTGATATAATCACACTTTAACATGTAGCGTTTCTGGCTACCAACTTCTTTAACAACGAACGCGATACTTCTATGATCGCTTTGATTTCAATTGTTTGGTTTTTTTCGGACGCTACATCGAACTTGGTTCTCTGAACCACGTAACCTACTCATTGTATTCGGACTCAATGTGATATGACCACTAGAGTCGGGATAACAACAATCTTCTTAGTCATTACCGAAACAATGGTAGCGACACACATGAATAAAACAAAATCAATTACTAGTTTCTTGGTAACCTTGTGACTTTCCCTGATCCAAGTGTGAGTCCTGTGCTTCCGGTAGTATAGGCCTCTACTACCATTCACACCTACTCATACTCGTCCCAAGTATCGTCTCGCAGTTTCCCAAGTCACCATGCAGCAAATCACACAACAATTTCACACACCAGATAACAAAACGAAGATTTCATTATTTCTCGAAACTATTACATAGGTGTTCAAGTTCACCCTAGACTATGCCTCTACTAGGCTACATCGTACGAAACTATGGCTACTGCATAATCCGATCTTCGGGTAAGAATTCCTCATTCTTGATTCCTTGCATGGTTCTCTGCCTCGTCAAGGATCATGTGA